GCAGACAGATTCTGAAAGGATACCTCATTGCCAGCAATTATATATCCACAGTTGTTGAGGCAGCATATGAAAATATTCCTTAGTTCAACTCTTTGTGCTAACACCCACAATGGATCATTTCAAATACATAGCCCTTTCTCAAACTTATTCCAACTCAAAATAAGAGAACTGTAAATGGAATTTCATGGCAGTGTTCTGACTCTCTTGTCTTGGATAGTTGAATTGTACACAATAAAGATATATTTACAAAAGTAGCGTTAAACTTCAGGTCACAAGAGTTTTCTGAAAGTTATGAAATTATGGGCAGGAGACAATGCTCTTTTAAACATAGGTAGCTGAAGAATGGAGTGCAACATAAATAAGATGTGGCAGGAGATGCGAGAAATGCTTACTTAAAACTTTAATCAATATTATTCAAATACTTCATTAATAGAGCAATCACAAAATGATGGAGTGTTCCCTGCATATTTATTCAGGCTGTTTAAAGCCAGCATCATCACTTGTGGGTTACGTGAAATCTCTATTCCCTTTACTGCCTAAACATGTCTGAAAGAACTCTATTCAGCACAAGTTATTGAAAATACCTGTGCATTTACACTTAAAGACTATTACATAGCTGTGAGATTTAATGGAGTACACAAGGTATATTCATAGTGTCAGAAGGTACCTTACTTGAATTGTCATGATTTAATAATCAAAGAGTTAAAAATGCTTACATTCTCCAGTATTCTCCTTACACACTCACACACACATGTCCGGCAGAAGCTCTCCACAAAACTTGCTATCCATCCTCCACTTAAGTATTACTTCAGACATGCTTTATAAAGTGGACCAGTGAGTTAAGTTCTGTTGTTAATTAAAACATAACAATAAGATATAAAATAACAGCTCCAGCATTGAAGCATTCTGGACTGGAGGTAGGCAACAAGCTTTTCCTACTTAAATACAGTATCTACTTCCATCCTAGGACTGTAAATTTGCTTGACCCCAAATTACATGATTGATTGTTCAAATGGTATTAAATAATTCATTGCGGGCATTTCTGCTGAAATGAACATCGATTATTGCATTTCCACCTTCACAATAAGTCAATCTGCACAAATAGAAAAAGTTAATAGGGTAAAAATTCATAAATCAACGAAGATGAGTCTGTGATGAGGTGACAATGGTTTCCAAAAAAATCTTTCATAAGAATCTTGCACTGCTGAACTTAATTACAAAAACACAGAGCCTGGCTGAAGCACTGCTCCACTTCCTGCTGTGTCAGCCTCCTCACTAACATTGCCTCTTGTGAAGAACGTCTCTACAGATTTAGAGCAGATGTTTCCCTGATATCACATTAAATTTGACCCCCACCTCAAAAAAGTTGATTTTCTCATGCACTAAAGTAACCTTCTCAAGACAGCATAGTCCAAGTTTAGAAAAGAAGCTTAAAAAGAATCCAATTTATTTTCTAACAATCTGAGTTCAATTAAAACACACTTGGTAGCTATCTGCCCAATTATTGGCGTTGTTGCGATAGGGTAACACAACTTTTCTGAAAGATCTACTGTGTTCTTGAGAAGGAAAGCAATCATCATCTCAGCAATTGGATCACTGGTCACCTTTCTAAGAACTGTTATAGGTGGCTGCCAATAGTCTCTGTAACTGAAGACAGATTTCACTCTGCTCCCAATGTGCCAACAGTTCTATTCAAAGTCATCAGACTGTCTTGCTTTTGACTGAGCAAAAGGCAGCAGTCCAATTCAAAAGACATCAACGATAGCATGACATAACTTTTGGTCTATTGTACAAAATACAATCACTACTCTGGGCTTAGCTGGTTGGGTTTAAAATTAGAGCTGTTTGCATCAAAACAGATTTGTAAAAATACCAGCTACTGGAATAGAAAGTTATGTGCTTTGTTAAGCCGAAGCTTTAGGAGAAACTGACAAGAACCTAGACTTAATAGTTGTTTTTATAAAAAACAGTGACTGGTACTGCTTGGCGGGTTGGACAAATTGGTCCATCACAAAAACAAAATCTGTATTTCAAAATCAACACTGATGTTTTGTACAGAACCTTGATAGGTCCCATGTGTCTGTTTCCATGATAAATTTTACAGTCACAACATATATCAAGTATCTAGACTTGGAAAAAAAACTTTCAATGTGATTGCCATTCTGTGGATGCATATTACTGCACAAACAAGGCTGCGACAACTAGAAAGCACACTTCTACATCAAGGCTAAATGATATTAGAGAACTCAGAGGCAAACACAAATTTTATCTCAGCACAAAGATCTCCATATGTTACTTTTTGTGGGAAATGAATACAAGGGCATGTAATGATGATGCCAGGCTGTAATTAGTTGAATGAGCTTCCCTAGTTAATAGGAACACTGAATTGTAAACACTTTTTTAAAAAAAAATTACATTCAGTTGTTATTAAATAAATTGCAAATAGATAAAATTGCAAAAGTGAACTGAGCTTCACAAATTCTCCCTTTTTGCTGTAGTTTTCTTCTTCACAAAGAGTCATTCGGTAGTACAGAACTTGAGTATTACAGAAGAAAAAGCATTTTGTTGCAGGTTTTTATCTTGCACTCATCAGAACAATGTGCAAGAATACCAAATTGAGGGGAATGACAGCATTTATACTGCATGAGAGGAGAGACTTGATTGTTGACAAATTAACTCTGATTGGTAGAGGCATTGCCATGGAATATACAGTAATTAACAATGATTGACAATACACTGCCAGGCTTTGTTAAATTTTAGACCAGGCAGGTAGACTCTGAATGTGGGTCACCTATTTTTAGACTCAATAAAACAGGTGACAGGTATTTGCTGATTCATTTCTCATGGCAATCCCCTGACCAATCAAAATCAACATACCTGGTTTAAAATTTAACAAAACATGGAGGTTAACTGTCAATCAAGTGGCAATTTCTCAATGGAAACACCTCTACTAATGAAAGATTCCACTTGCCTACCAATCAGCACTCTCTTCACATTCAGTTTAAATGTTGGTTTTCGTCCTTGAATTGGTATTCTTGCAAATTGTACTGATGAGTGTAAAATGAGAAGCTTCAACAAAATGTGTCTTTCTTCACAAGCAATTGATATTTATATGTGAAGATCGACAGTGAGGTATTTCACACTGCTTCTACCCTTTCAGCACTGGATTCATTTGACTTTTACTTCAAATACTTTCTACCTTCTTCACTTACTGAAAAGGAAAATGAAATGATTGTCAGTGTTATTCATCCTCATATGGTAATCTTTAACCATGGATATGTTTTCCGCCTGCAGCTCCAAACGATAATGTAATTATCTGTTGCCTGGTAACCCACATTTCAGCTGCCAGAGGCAGCCTGGTATTGTACGGCTGACTCTACTCTCACATTTTACAAGATGTGTAGGTGATGTAATTTATCTGTTCCACATTGCTCATTGGCAGCAAGTGTTATAGCAGGCAGTTACCACTTTATAAAGTCAAGTTACTGATTCAAATGCAAATGCTGCATTTCAAGAACAAAACCCTTACTATGAGGATCCACAATAATTATTTTTCATATCAAGCATTCAGCAAACTATACTCATTTGAAACGAAGAGGAGAGCCTGGAGCCATCACTTGTCATGACTTCAAGAGCAAAGAATACAATGACCATCTATCAAAACTGATGCCATGTTTTGTTAATTAACAAAAAGAGAACACCATGTATTTTAAATGAAGATTCCTCCGAGGCCTAATGTGAACCTCCATGGCCTTTAAAGCATTAACAACTTCCAATCTTTCAAAAAAATATTATCCAAGCAAAATTTGTTTGAAGGGAGCCCTACGAAGAGATTGACAAAAGGCAGATTCAGTGTGTCCTGGATGTACATGACTGAGAAATAAAATACAAGAGAGCCCAACTGTGCAGCAGTCAAAGCATAAGAATCCACAATGAGTTATATTTTATATATCATAATCCGAAACCACACATGGGGATCCATACCACACATAAACAAAGATTTAGTTCATCATTACAATCTCAGGCTTGTCAAACCTGACTCGTCAGTAAAGTCAAGCTTGGAGTTTTGCTCACATGACTGCGGATGAAACAAGGAATATTCTGACCATTTACTTTAGTGACAGAAGTAACATCCAGGCCTAGATTTACATTAGTGACACGAGTAGCTTGAGTTGGGATATTTCCTGGAGTTTTGCTCTGGGAAGGCTCAGGCACCGTGGAATCAGGACTGTAGAATCCCAAAACAGATGGGACAGGTGAGTGCAAGGCAGACAGATTACAAGACTTACCTCGGTTCTGTTGGATTTTGTCCCAATTGTTTCAGAGGCGCTTTCATCTTCCTCCAAACTCACCCCCTCCCAACACATACACACACACATCCTCTCCAACTCATGGCCCATCATATCCTTCATGCCATTTCATATTTCCTACACCACCCACCTTATGGTTTCTCACATCCTACAATGCCAACTTATCCCCCATCCCTCAATCCCTCCATTTCCATTCAATCCAGTATCCATTATGGATGGATGTCAGAATCTATGCGAGTATGAAAATAAAGCTAACATTTCTCGCTTATTCACACTTGTTAGTGAAAATAACTCTCATTCATAAAACACAATTGAAGACTTTAAATCTCAAGTATTCTTCAGTTTAGGAAAACAAGCAAACTTCTATTCAAACCCCAGATCAAAGGTAACTAATCCTTTAATAGCCCCTTTAAACTGCCAAACTATAAACTCTCAATACCTCAAAACAGAAGCTTTTGAAACTCAGTCAAACATTCATAACAACAACTCTGGGGTAAAATCAAAAAACTTTATTAAAAGACTTTAAAGGGCAGGGATATAAAAATCTTCAGATCATGACATTTTCTACTTTTCAAGAATATTTGAATCTATGTCGTCCATTTGTAATCCTACACTGTAGGTCAAGGTCCCTGCACATGGGGTCTGTTTGAACTCAGTGCTAACTTCAACTGGCTGTGCAGAATTTGGGTTTCCCTTTTTGGTGAATTATGCCCACCCTCTTCTTGCTGTTGGCAAAAATTGCATCCATCAGAAAGGTGCACAAGTATTCTAGCTTCCATGAGAATCTGGTCCTTAGTCTCAGTATGCATTAATTCCTGATTGTCGCAAGAGGTTTACAAATTGGCTTATGAGCTTATGTTATGCACTGTAGTTATTAATTTCAATTTTCCATGCATCAGAAACAAGCCAAATTAATGCAATCTCCAAGTATTAACAACACTAAACTTGCCCATTTTTATAATTGCAGTAACTTAGATTGAATTGAAAAAAAAGCTACTCACCTTTCATTTTCACATGGAATTCTCCTAACTGGTTCTCAAGCTCACTTTCCATTGTGCACATACTCTAGGTAAAAGAAATGACTTTTTCACTTTGGTACAACATAGAACATTTGTGTTTCAAAATTAATGATAAAGTCATTAAATTAAGATTTTATACCCCTCAGAGGTTTTATTTTTATTTTGGGGTTGGGAATCTGGTGACTGGATAATTTCCTGGGTCTGTTATCCCAATGCATCTGTGTTGCTCATGCATTGTAATCTTCAAACATTAACACCCTAACTAGGCAGGAGGCAAGTTTGGTGCTCAATTACTGGTACTGAGCTCTAGGAAAAGGCAGGAAATGTCTCTCAAGGCCTATGATGGGGCCTGCAGCTGTCGTCAGAAAACAGGCAGGAATTTGAGCAGCCAGAAGCCTTAGCACTTTAAGAATTGGCCAAACAACCAGCCAAACTGTATTAGTATTGTACGAGTCACGAGAGAACATTGAATTCTTGAGGTGTCATGGCCAATATTTATCCTTCAACAAATATGACTAAAACATTAACCAGTCATTTGTTTCATGGATGCTTTGGAGAGTTTGGAGAGTTTGCCATGCACAATTAGTTGCATGCTACGTTACAACATAAACTACATTTCAAAAGTACTCCTTTGGGACTTCTTTAGATTGTTACAATCCCATATCTAATGCAAGTTTAAAGAAGAACAGAAGTGAAGAATTAAAACTGGCTAAGACAGTGTGTGAAAATAGAATAGCAGTCACCATAAAAAGGTAATCCAAAAATCTTCTCCATGAAGCAAATAATAAGTAGGACGTAATGGGCCTAGTAGAGAAAACGGTGACATGTGCTTTGAGATGCAAGGTAAGACTGGAATATGTCATAAGTGCTTTGTATCAGTGTTTGCTATGGAAGAGATGGAGGTAAAATAAAATCAGTGAACTGTAGAGATAACTGATGATAAAAATTAATAGGCAAGATGGAAATGCCAGAAGTGCTTAGAATGGAGAAGTTGCTCGATCCTGATGACTAACAATTTGCTAAAGGAGGTGGGTGTGGATACGGAGGGTCGGGGAGGTTGGTGAAGCCACTTTTGGAGTACAGCTATAGTTCTGGTTGCCCTGCTATAAGGAAGGATATTATTAAATTGGAGAGGATCAGAAAAGATTTACAAGGATGTTGCCAGGACTGGAGGGTTGCAGTTATAAGGAGAGGCTGGGACTTTTTTTCCATTGGAGCACAGGAGGTTGAGGGGTCACCTTATAGGGGTTTAAGGTTCTTGTGCAGATTTCTAACTTGGGTTGTGGGTGAGGCTGTTGATTTGCTCACCGAGCTGGTTGTAGTTCAGATGTTTCATCACCATGCTAGGTAACATCATCAGTGCAGCCTCCGATGAAGCGATGTTGTTCTACTCCACTCAGTGTCTGAAATCTGGTCTGTTGCAGTGTTTTGTGTCATTTCCGGGCTTTCTTTTGCAAGGGTTTGTATACGGGGTCTAATTTCACATGTTTATTGATTGCATTATGGGTGGAGAACCAGGCCTGTAGGAATTCCCGTGTGTGTCTATGGTTGGCTTGAGCTAGATGGTCATGTCATCCCAGTTAAATTGATGGTCTTCATTGTCTGAGTGTACTGAAATGAAGGAAAGTTCATTGTGTCGTTTTGCTGCTAGCTGGGGTTCATGTATCCTGATGGCTAGTTTTCTTCCTGTCTGGCCAATGTAATGTTTTTGGCAGTCCTTGCATGATATTTTGTATACTACGTTGGTCCCGCATGTCGTGGTTATGGGGTTTTTGGTCCCTGTGAGTGTTTGTCATTGTGTGGCTGTGGGTTTACGTGCTATCCTGATTCCTAGTGGTCGTAGGAGTCTTGTTCTCAGTTCTGATATGTTCTTGGCATACAGTAGTGTGGCCAGTGTATTAGGTCATATTGTGTCCTCCTGGTGTTGTCTATCTACTAGGCATCTGCGGATGAAGTTGGTGGGGTATCCACTGTTAGCGAAGACTTTGTATAGGTGCTCTTCGACACTATTCAAACGGGCCGCAACCCACTGCAATACACCTGAACTTCTCAAGGAGGAGGAAGGAAACTAGCGGTCAGGATATACCAGATAGCAGCAAAACGACACAATGAACTTTCCCTCATTTCTGTACACTCAAACAACGAAGGCCATCAATTTAACTGGGATGACATGACCATCCTAGCTCAAGCCAACCATAGACACACGGGAATTCCTACAGGCCTGATTCTCCACCCATAATGCAATCGATAAACATGTGGAATTAGACCCCATATACAAACCCTTGCAAAAAATGAACCAGAAATGACACAAAGCACCTCAACAGACCAGATCATATAAATACTGAGTGGAGTAAAACAACAGCGCTTCATCAGAGGCCGCGCTGATGATGTCACCTAGCATGGTGACAAAACATCTGAATGATAATCAGCCAGCTCAGCATGCAAGTCAACAACCTCACCTTATAGAGGTTTATAAAATCATGAGGGGCATAGATAAGATGAATAATCAAGATCTTTTCCCTAAGGTGGGGGAGTTCAAAACTAGGGGATGTATTTTTAAGAGAGGAGAAAGATTTATAAGGGACCTGAGGGGCAACTTTTTTAGAAAGTGGATGGTTCGTATGTGGAATGAATTGCCAGAAGTGGTAGAGGCAAGTACAGTTATAACATTTAAAAGACATTTGGATAGGTACATGAATAGGGAATGTTTAGGGGGATATGGGCCAAACGCAGGCAGTTGAGACTAACGTAATTTAATTTGGGAAACTTGGATGAATTGGACCAAAAGGGTCTGTTTCCATGCTGTATGACTCTATAAGCATAAATAGACCAGTCAAACCATGATTTAATACTGTAATCATATACAAGGTACATAGATAACATCAAAAGGTAAAAATAGCAAATATTGAAGATATTGAAACATGTAAATATTCAATATTGAAATCTGTAGTAGATAGACAAGGAATTTGCATATATATGCACATGATCACTGACATTCTGAAGCACTTCGTAGTCAGTTACATAGTTTTGAATTGTAGTCAGCAAACAATAGAGGCAGTCCCTAATCCACATAAGTCTTTCAGCAACACAACATCAAGGAAACTGTTGATTTATTTATCTTCAAAGATCCAGCTCAACCTCTGGAAAGAGAGTGCACCAAACTTAGCAGTATTTTCTTATTTTCCAGTTAACATTTCAGCTTCTGGTTTTACCTCTGTGTATTCTTTGTAGCCCTTGTTAGCTTCAGCCAAGCTCTCCCTTGCTTCTTTGCTGGTTTGAGACACAGTATATGCGCGCACCATGTTGTTTGCACCATCCCGTAATCTTCGCTGGATGCAGTAAGATTCATACAGCTCATCAATCTGCAACAAATTGCAAAGAAAGTAAACTAGTTAGCATTACCAAAATGATACTGAAGTGACAACCAGGGTTAGGCTTGATTAAGCAGATAATGTAAAACATTGGTTTTCAAAATAGGGTTCATGATATTTTTAATATCTGGGAGTCTACTCACATGCCACTCTGTTGTACACTAACCTTGATCAACTCATCCATGTGCTTTACAAATGCAAGTTTATCAAGAACCAACAGAAGGCCTATATATTTTACACATTTCATTAAAAAATAATTGAGCATCATAACTGAGAGATCTGTCTGCACTAAAGACAATGAACTTGAATATCAACTCATAAGACTTAGACTGACAACACCAGTGACAATGATGCTTTTCTAACGGCACTGAGGTGTCTACCTTCCTCAAGCCCCCAATTCATTTCCCTCACTCTCCTGAAGGCACAGATTGATAGAAGCTCAGTTCCATCGACAACAAATACCTTGAAATTCCTTTCCAAAAGTGAGCAATTGTGTGTGGGATGGGAAGCGACTACTAACTATACCCACAGGGGCTCTTGTAGGACACAGCTGATTCCTTCCTTCATATTTATGAGACACTGAAACAAATCAAAGTTGACACCACAAGTCTATATCGAGACACCGTGGTATTAGGGTTAACCCTAAAGTGATGGAGTATTTTGGATGCAGCAGGGAACTGTATTGCCGTCTCACTATCCTGGAGAATGTACAAGATCCCACTGTAGTATTCAAAGGCGGCTAGAGAAGCTGACTCAGCTTTCTGGCCAAGATTTAACCTGAACCAAAACTACTAGTCATTTAGCTCATTTCAACATGAGAGCTTGCTGTGCCTAATCTGGTTACCGCATCTACCTACATAAACACCTGAAAACTAACTGTTTACACTGAAGTACCCTGGGATGGCCACAAAGACATAAAATATACAATATAAATTATAAAGATGTAATTTGTTTACATCTTCTGGTGCTGCATCTCACATAACTGTATCAGGATCTGAACAGTTGATGTTCTGACACCTCCCTGGGCATTTCATTCCTGACCAGCTGCTCAACCAAATCGTACAGATTGCAATTGGCCAGATTTAGAGAATTTAGATTTTCTAATTCCTACTTAAGTTTCTTTTAAAAAATATATCAAATGTAGTAAACTTTTAACGACAGAGATACTTCCACATTGGGCACCGCTTCTTGGTAATTTCTACACGAGAAACTAAATATTAGATCAGAGTGACAATGGTTAACAGACACACACTGCCCAGATGAGAGAGTCCCCAGATGTAATGGACATCATGTAGAACTTCATTGAACACACCTTTTCTTCAAATGAGTCCTCTATGAGCTGGTACAGTGTTGCCACTAACTATAAACATTAGAACCAAGGAAACTAACACAAATAAATCTTTACGTAACATGGGAATAAAGGGATCAAATGGCAGCATAACAAAGAATGACAATCATCTGAATCTTCATTTAATTCCCTGCATTAGAAAGAGAGATGTTTGTAAAATGATAGATCTTACTCTATCCTCCCTTTTGAATGAATGATTTTTATTGTAACTTGTATTTTGCAGGAAAAATATGATAAAATACAGTGAAAAACTTTCATTGGTCGCTACAATTTGGTGACATTTTGAATGATTTAAGAATAAGGGTAAAAAAGAATAGCTTAAAGATAGTCTGTCAGTCCTGAGCCAGCTCATCATCAAAGATGCCTCTGCTGTTATCCCTCCTCCGCTGCTTCATCGCCATCTACACTGGACCCAACCAACACTGAAGTTACCAATCCTCAGGCACCGTCTTTCACTGCTGGGCTGATAATCCAACTCCCCACTGACTGCGCTGGACCAACCAACACTAGAATCAGGTCTCTTGCTGCTGGTCCCACCTCGATGTTGCTCTGCTGCCCTTCTGCCACCACCAGTGCCAGACCCAACCAACGACAAATCTTTCACCGCTGGGTCTACCTTGCCAACGCTGCATCTGCCAACTCCAATGTTAGGTCCTCTGCTCACCCCGAAAAAATAAATAAGGGCTCTCTCGAGGTCCGCCTGGGTACACTCTCCTCCATGCTGTTGCTCGGAAGTAGTCAAGTAACATGCTTCATTAAAACTTTAATTGTTTGATACAAAAGTACCTGATGTAAAATTGTGTTAATTGGCTAGATCATGAAATTGGGCATTAGGAAGTGGCCAGTACTTCCCAAGTACCTGATGCAGTTCTATTGTTTCACTGAGGGTAGCTGGACAAAAAGAATATGTTCATCTTCCCACCCGTCTTTTCCCCATCCCAGCAGCCAAGGCAGCAAATGGAGAAATGCAAAGTATGGTGCATGCTGTGTTAGCAGTTCCTCCCTGCTAGTAGCAGTGCAACATTCCACATTGTCTCACTCAGCATGCACAGAGAGGAAAAAGACAGATTGGTCACTAGAAGGAGTACGATTCAAATTCCTCCTCCAGGTTTAGAGTTTGGACTCAGGTGATCATTGTAGACTCAAACAGTAAGCGTTTGCTAGCACAAAGAGTGGGCAATTTTAATGAAGTATCAGAGGGAACTAGTACATGCAAAACTATAACCCTCACTAAAAGAAAACATTGGCAGTGTTCACTTTAAAATGCCAACTTTCAATCTAGCTTTTAATTATTTTAATTATTCAAAATAAAACTTTTATTCAGATAGCACCTCTAACTTAGTAAAATAGTCCAAGGCACTTCATAGGAATTTTACACCAAACCACCCAAGGAGGTATTAGGACTGATGATTTTAAGGAACTTTTTAAAAAATAAAAAGGTATAGAAGTGGAGAGATTTAGGGAGTGAATCCCAGAGCTTAGAGCCTTGGCAACTGAAGGGATGGCCAATAGTGAAACAGTTAAAATGGAGGATGCACAAGAGACCAGAGTTGGAAGAGCACAGTTATCTCATGAGAGTTGGAGGTCTCAAGGAGGTTACAAAGAAAGGGAAAGGATTGAAAACAAGAGTGAGTTGCCAGATTGGAAATTAAAGTAGTTCAGCAGGCACAGGCAAGATTGGTGAAGAGAACTTGGTGCAAGTTCATGTACAGGCAGTAGAATTCAGATGACCTCAAGTTTATGGAGCATGAAAATGGGAAGCCATTCAGGCCAGTAGGATAACAGTCAAGTTTGAGGTTAGAAAGGCATGAATGAGCACCTTTGCATTGAGACAGGCAATGTTACAGCAGTAGATGCAGGTGATCTTGATGGTAAAGTGGATGTGATTGTAAGTTAACGACAAGATCAAATACAGCAGCAAAATTATGAATGGTCTGGTTCAGCCTCAAACAATGGCCAGGGTGTGGGATGGAGTCAGTAGTCAGAGATGGTAAAAGTGAGATCAAGACACCAAAACACCTGCCTTCATGTGTTTAAGAATGTGGGGTGTCGTATAGCTGAAAAATTATTTTAATTGATATTCCTTACTATGATGGTAAGAAAATTATTAAATAGTGGTAACTTTAATTGATATTCTGTTAGCCCCTCAAAAATCTAATTTATATTGATTAGGCTCATTGATAAAATACTGCAAACAGGCTGAAAAGTGGATGTAAGTCAGTTTCAGCAATTGGGAGTTGATCCATTTTTTGGAAATTAAAAAAAAACTGTAGCAATTACAAACTGAATAGGAACTAGGCTCGGTGCTGTGGAAAAACAAAGGGATCTGATGGATGCAGGTTTACAGGACATTAAAACAGGGTCTCAGAGATGCTGAGAAAAGAAAACAATGCAGTACGAAGGTTTATCTTAAAAGCTATGGAATATTAAAAAAATGAGGAATTCTTATAAAAGCATAATGAAGCCTCATTAATGCAATAACAAAAACAGAAATTGCTCGAAAAGCTCAGCAGGTCTGGCATCATCTGTGGACAGAAATCAGAGTTAATGCTTGAGGTTGAATGACCCTTCCTCAGTTCCTGCAATTCTATTTTTGTTTCTGATTTACAGCATCCAAAGTTCTTTTCATTCTCATTAACGCAATGTTGGGCTTCAGGTCATTGGCTGGATATTAAGGCTTTTGAGAACATATAACAGACCCCCACATTGACATTTGTATTTACTCAGGGCAAGGTACAAAGACTCATAAAACTGGGTGATTTTCAATTTGATAACAAATTACAGTCTACAGGGCAATATAATTATGCAAGATTACGAATAGGTAAATAAAAGATGACAGTCTCCAATATTTGAAGAGTAAGATAAAAGGGGTAAAAAAAAAACCACAAGATAAGAAATTTAACAGAAGGGAAGAGAATCTTTACAAAGAGAATTGAAAGGTTAAGTGTTCAGTTCCAGACTTATAAATTGAGACAAAACGTAGTGTAGGTTTTCCCTGTGGGCCTCTGCACTGCTCTCTACCCTACCCACCAGCCCACAACCCCACCTATCCATCAAACCCAATGGGAGCAGGGGTGGAGCATACTGCGTGGAAGACCATGGGAGTTGCTAAAAAAAAAGCAGCCAATTAATGGTAAGAGTGTAGGCTTGCTGCCCAATTGTAGATAAGTGGTTCAGGAGTGGGATGGAGGCTGGGAACTAAAACATTGACCAGATAACAACATTGCTTTCAGAGTCTGCCTGCTTCCGTTTCCAGCTACAGAGGGGTTCACAAATCCCCTCCCATGCCTACACAGGAGATTAGACTGAATAAGTGGCTGTAGGAAAGGGCTTAAATTCGATAAGAACTATACGAAGGTTGTGGTTAAACTAGAGAGTGTGGAGAAAAATTTTACAAGGATATTGCTGGGACTGGAGGGTTTGAATGACAACGAAAGGCCAGATAGGCTGGGACTTTTATCCCTGGAGCATCAGAGGCTGAGGGGTGACCTTATAGGGGCTTATAAAATCATGTATGAATAGCAATGAAACTTTTTCCAAGGATAGGGGAGTCCAAAACTAGAGGACACAGGTATAGGTGAGAGGGGAAAGATTTAAAAAGGGACCTGAGGGGAAACTTTTCCACACAGAGGGTGCTGCATGT